TTTATATTCTGGCAGCTCAAGGGCATGTACCTGGTGTCCTCTCCTCCAGTGTTCTCAGAACAAATGTTGGGTAGGTTTCACTGAGTGATAGTGACCAGCACTGGCCCAAAGTATCCCAATAACCTTCTGTGATTAAGTGGGGATTGAGCCTTCTATGTCCCAGTCAAATATATCAGAAGGTGAATCTGTAAAACTAAAGAGAAGTGCTTGGCAGATCAGGGGATGCTGCTACAAACTCATATTTGGAATATAGATATTCTAAGGCTGTAATACAAACTGCAACTAATGATCTCTTTCAGGAGCAAAACAACAACAAAAAAACCTTACAAAAAATCTACAACATAAAGATTTCTTTGCCTTGTAAAATTTTTATTCCACCTTTTCATTGCACACGAATCTCTCCTTGTATTCCATGCTGCAGGATGGTTTCTCATAATTAGAAGACAGGGGAAGAGACTTACTGAACCTGCTGACTCAAGTTGCAGCCTAAGGCAAATGTATGTAATGGAGGAGGTGGAAGAGGAAGACAAAAACCTCAAGCCATGCCCAGAACAGCATGTCCTGTTGGTTTTATTTCCTCATCTGAGATTCTCCTGTTTTCTTTAGAAGCCCTGAAAACGGAAGGAGGCTAAAATATAGGATATCATCCCTACTTGAAAGCTTTCATATATGTTGAATGCCCAATGCCTGACAACTTTGGGTGGCTTAAGCTTTAAAAAACTAAGAACCATAAAATAGAGAAAAATTCAGTTATATCCAGAAAAATTTACATACTATAACAAAGAAGCAACCAACAGGGGCTCAACATTCACCCTATCCTACAGCCTTGGAGAACAGCCAGGTTTTCAGATCTTTTGGAATATCATCAGGGTAGGAGCCATATGAATCTCTGGGGTGACATTGCTCCAGAAGATGTGCTTCCTAGGTCCCAATAGATGGCATGGCTAGGGGTCTAGAGCAGACCCATTCTAGCTGATCTTGCTATATGGACAGAAACTATTGAAGATAGGTGGTCCCTCAAATAACAAGGCCCTATGTCATGAAGCAATTATAAGCAATAACCAGCACCTTGAACTGTACCCAGAAGCCAACTGAGAACCAGTGAAACTTGTGAGGCAGTGGTGATACGTGAGCATACTGCAGCATGCCCATCACTGCCCTTGCTGTTACATTCTGGACCAGCTGTAGCTTCCAAGTAATCTTCAAGTGCAGTCCCATATACAGTAAATAGTCCATTTGTGAAGTGACTATGGGATTAATGACCACCTAAAGGGCCTCCCAATCTAGGAATGGGCACAACTGTTGCAACAGATGGATTGGTGCAAAGGCCCTCCTGTAGTACCCTCCTCAAGTAGAAACTGTGAGTCCAAGATGGCTCCCAGATTGTACACAGTCTCAAATGTGGATGCGCTGCCCCACCCAAGACTCAAGATGGAAAGTCCCCAGAGCTGGGCAGGGGCCAAATATTCACAGCCACTCAGTCTGGTCAGAATTGAGCCTAGGTCTATTCCTCTCCATGCAGATTCAAACAGCTTCCAGACACAGGGACAGGACATTGACAACTCCTGGACAGCCCAGGGTCAAGATGTATAATTGGGTATCATCTGCATACTGACGGCGCTTCACCCCAAACTAATGGACAATCTTATCTAGCAGTTGATATAGATGTAAACAAAAAAGGAGAGAGCATTGAGCCCTGAGGTACCCAACAAATAAAAGGGCATGGGTACAACCTCTCCTCCCCCCTCCCAGCACCAGCTGGGACCAACCATAGAAGAAGGAGTAGGACCACTGTAAAATGGTATTTACTACCTTCAAACCCTGCAACCAGTCCAGAACAATTTTTTGATTGATGGTATCAAAAACTGCTGAGAACTCAAGGAGCACAAGGGTGGATACACTATCTCCATCCTGGCTTCACCAAAGGTCATCAGTAAGCTCAACCGGTGCTGTCTCTATATCTGATTGATATGGGTCCAGATATTGCTGCTATTGCTGACCACCTTCTCAACAACCTTTCCTAAAAGGGAAGGTTGGAAACTGGATGATAGTCATCCAAGCTGTTGGGTCCAGTGATGGCTTCTTGAGAAGAGGGTGCACATCTCTTTTCAAGACCAACTCCACCACATGGACTTAACTACTGTTCACCTGCCTTAACAACTCAGGAAGAACTTGGATCAAATAAACAGGTATCTGAACACTCAGTTGATAGGACTGTGTCCACATCATCAGAAGTCACAGGCTCAAACTCACGCCAGATAACTTCACAAAGCCATGCCCCAAGTACCTCAATTGGACCTGCACAATTGGAGTTCAACTCTGAGTGGATCTGAGCAACTTCAGCTTGAAACTTCTGCACAGCAGCCTTGCAGTTATTCCTATGGTCTGTCCTGCCCCAGCAGGGCCATTAAACAAGGCCATTGGATGGCTATCAGCAGACACAAAAAGGGCAAAGAAATAGCAACATTTTGCTCCTCTTTTTGCCATGATGTAATTCCAGATATGGGCTGTTACTCATGTTTGATCAGACTTGATCTTTATCTTCCTCCAGTGGTGCTCCAGGTGTCTCTTCTGGCACTTTATCTTCTGGATATGTTATTGGGGATGATCCAGATTTTTTTCCCCTTCATTCCTCTATCATTGCACCACCACTGTTGTTCTGCTCACAAAATTCTCTTTTTACTTCCCACAACATCTCTTCTTCCACTGCTCCCTTTCTTATGCATAGAGAATTCGGTGTGGGAAATGAGTTGTTTTGAACATTAAAGAAAAAATGGTAAAAACAAAAATGAACCCTCATAGAGATATTTATTTGACTGTAATCCTATCTGGGTTTAAGTACCACTGAAATGATTCTTAACCTAGTTCACAGAGCACCCAGATGATGTTGTCTTCCTTTAGTAAACAAACCCTGTTTTATCACACTTTTGTCTAGTTTTCTTCTGAAAGGCAGAATCAGAATCAGAGTCACATCATTTCCAAAGACTGTTCAATAGCTCCTAATTCTTAGAGAAGTTGTGGGGAAGACTAATTTAACATCAGCAACAACATTCACCATCCTTCCCCCAGTTCCTCACTCTTCCAGTCTGCAAGAGTAGAAAGGAAAGAGACTGTTCAGCTAACAATGAATCCTATTGTGATGTTATATCCAGCAGCAAAGTGGCATTCTATGCTTCCTCAATTCAGTTTCCTCAATTAAAAAAAATCACACAAGAAAAGGTGTTTTCAGTATATCATTATTTTGTATTTTTGAAATCCAAGTTCAAAACAGGTGAAGGTTGTGAGGGGTAACTGTGTAATAAAGCAGCACAGAGGCAGGTTGAGAGAGTGGATTGCAGTGAGACTAAGGGGTGTCTGGGCAAGCATCAACAGACCCCAAATACATTCTAGCAAGGGTAGATCAATACCCTTGATTTATTATCACAGAGTTATTGGTAATAAAGCAGGAGTGAATGGCATAGACTAGAATCTATGAGTCTAGATTATTGCAGTTCAACAAGCTGCCAAAAATAAAAACCAGAAAACAATGGCATAATGTAAAAAGAGATTCACATCTTACAGAAGAATTGGGATTTAGTTTCTAGTAAAAAGGCACTGTGTTGGCCTCTAGCTTTCATTGCAATCAATGTAAATTGATAATCCTGAGTAGCTTAAAGCTTATTGGATTAAATGGGTATTAAAACCACACTAGTTATAACAGACACATATGTAGTTAGTAATGTCTGCATTTAAAACAAAGCAGCTAACTGGATTCAGATCAAGACTGGATGAACTGAAGTGGGTCATGTTACATTTCAAGAGGGCTCAGGATATTTTGATTCTTAAAGAATGCACAGAAGTGAGTTATGATGTAAATGAATAGTGAACAAACATAATCAAAATACATTTATTTGTTATTAGTTTTGTTAGTTTGAAAGCTGGAAAGCTTCATGGAAGGTTACATTTCCTATACTTTTGTACATAAGAAGATACTATAAATGGCAGGCTTAAAACAGAGGGTTTTAAGGGTGAATTAAGGGTGAATAAAATCATCCTTCAAATGAATGTTGTGCCTAATAGCACATTAGAATGACCCTGACCCACCCATTCTCTCTCCCTCTCCTACCTTTATGGGGTTGTGGGAAAGTAAAGGAGAGGGGGAAAAAAAAAATTATGCTGCTTTAAGCTGCTTGGAGGAAAGGCAGTTTAAGGATATACATTTAGTTTAAAAAATTTAAATGTCAGGCTTGTATGCTCCATTTTCCAATCTGCAATAGCCATCAAAATGACATATATTATTGATTTCTTCAATAATATATTCATCAGCAGTTTTTACTGGCTGTGTGTGGTTGGCTCTAAGTCTGCAGCCAAAGTCAGCTGTGGAGAAAGTGCAGTGGGGGTACTGTGTCCACTCTGCTCTATTCAAAGCCTCTGAACAAATATAACAGCTCCTGTTCTAGTAACTTGCCTAATCCTTACCAGGTGCCCAGTATGCATTTTTCCTGCCTTTCATCATTCCTGCATCATTTGCTTCAGAAACCCTCTAGATGGCATAAGCTAAGTTACCATCTCCCCTCGGGCCCACCCAACAATGCAGGGATAATAACACTGCCCTAGCTGCAGGGCTGATACTAGAATTATAAACATATGTGAAATGTTTAAAATATTGGAAAAGTTATATCTTGATGGTAAGTATTATGATACTGTCAGAATGGTTCATTTATTTGTTCTGTAATTATTTTTGATATTATATCCAGCTATTTGGTGGAACCATCCTCAAGGCACTTTACAATAGGTGACAAACAATATAGGATCATAAGCTCACATGCAAACACAAAAGCCCAGATTTGCACATAACCTAGCAGCCATCAGCTGGAGAATGAGGTGGCTTTTTTCCTGTTGGTTCTAGTTGACCTGGGACACTGTCAGCTGGGACCAGGTGCATGAAAGGAAGGGAGGGAGGGATATCTGCTAATAGCAATAACATTTAGTACAATATGTTGTTTCTGGAATTTTTGCAGACAGTGAAAGTACAGGGGAATGACATTTCCCACAAGCTGCAGATCTCCAAAGTCAGGAGAAAGGATGAAGGGTTGTATGAGTGCAGGGTGACGGATGCCAATTATGGAGACCTTCAGGAATACAAAGCCCAAGCTTATCTCAAAGTCAATGCAAACAGCCACTCCCGAAGAATGCAGGCTTTTGAAGCTTCCCCAATGTGGCTACAGGATAAACCTCGCAAGAATATCTCAGCTGCCATCTCTAGCAGCATCCATAATTCTGCCAGTCAACGAATGCGTCCCACCTCCAGTCCTCCAGCAGATGCTAAAATCCCCAAGCAAAGCCCACAATCAGGTATGAACAACCATTTTGAACACTTTAAGGATATAACTAGCATGTAATTAAAACTCAAAGCACTGCTGTTATTAGAGAAAAAATATGTTGTTATTTTATATACAGTGTAGAGTTAGAAAACATTTTATACAAAAATCTTGGTATATTTAATCCTTATGACCACGCAAAACAAAAATAAAAAGCCCATTTGACATGACAGTCATGCCCAAAGCATCCTTCACATAATACAGGCACAAATGCCCTGTTATCCAGCATGTCAAATGTAGCCCATGAGCCAGATATGGTAGGTCACTAGGAGTTTGATACATTTTGCTTTTTATACAGGAGCATCCTTGGGAGGAGGGGGAGCAAAATGACATAAGCACCATCGTGCTGTTGCAATGCAAGGCCCACCCCTTTTATATATGCATCATGAAATTGCCACCACACCATGATGCTCATTCTAACTAAAGTAGCAAACTTCCGTAGATAGCCTTGTTCGTATACTGTCTTAGGATCGCAAGCACAGAGCATAGTGCAGGAGGTGTACATCAAACAAATGATGAGTATACCTGAAGACCCTAAACAAAAGAAATCAAAATTGTGATAAAAAATATCAAAGCCCAAACTGAAACAAGAGGAATTACATCCAAAGGTCCCCTAGAATGTTTCTGTTATTTCATTACTAAGGAGAGAAAGACTGTTTTGTCTCCATCATCCTACTATGTTTATCCAGGCAACTATTCACTTTGAGCTTTGCCAAGATGAGTCCTCCTGGTGTTCTTAATTATCTTGCTTTAAAAGACTCAAGCAGGACATGAATGAAGGTTTGGCAGCTGTATTTGGATTGGTGGGCCACAGGTTCTGAGTTCTGCTTAAATACTTCTTTATTATCACTATCTTATTTAGATTTGAAATACCTCTAGGGATACAATAAAGAAATACAGTAGGGAGAAAACAGAGAGAAAATAAATAGCCCATAAAAGATTTTTGCATTTTGAAATGTGCTATTTTTTCAGAATGATTTTCCTCTTTTAATATAATTCCTCTTGTTCTGGCACTGGATTAGGGTAGATGTCCTGTTCCCTAGCTGCATGTAATCACTTGGTAAGGTGATTTTTTGTGTCATCTTGCTAAACAATAAGGGAAGTTTTATCACTCAAGGTTCTGTACACTTTTGCTGGCTATGGACAATGGAGGGTTGTTGTAATAGCTGAGCTACGATTTAACAAACTCATGAGGTGACTTTTTAGGAAGAACCTCAGCCTCCATCGTATCCCAGTAATATGGGACAATAGTACCCATCTTGTTTGTATAGGATTGCTGGAAAAATCCATAATAAAACAAGTGCTTGATATATTTAAAAGTGCTATATAAATACTTAGTATTTATAACCATCATCATTAAAATTATTTCTATCGACTGGAAAGAGAATCAATGTAACATGTAGTTAGACATATACACACTGCGATAAGTTATTTTTGGGGCAAAGATCATCTCTACCCTATTTTTGTGACACTGTCTGAATACTTGCTAATAAATAATTTTTCAAGCTTGAATTTGATCTGGTTTATAGATATATTAGAAATAGGCTACATTTGGAAGTATCCCATAGTGCTGAATGAACAGCCAAGACTCAAATGATTTTACTTTTTAAACAGTGGCACTTGTGGTAGCAAAGACTGTGGAAGACATGCTTGTACTGAACGCCACATTCCACCATCTTGCAGTAGATAGGAAATAATTTAAAGGCAGCCTAGCAACAGAAGCAAAAATAGAGGAGTACTTTGCTATGGATGGATGAGAACATATTTTTTCCCAAAATGTTCATCATCCCGACAGCAATACATGTTCTGATAACGCAAGTGTTAATTTAAAAATAACAAGAAAAAAACTTGATTATTTTACAAAAGCTGGCCAAATTCACTACATGGTGCTGAAAACTGTGCTTTGGAGCACAACAGTTTATTTTAATTGTATTATTTGATACTACATGAAGGTTTTTCTATTAAAAATAGGATTAAGGCAAAGTTTAGTGAGAGGACAAGCAATTGAACTTGCTACTAGAATGCACAGGGAAGAGAGCTTTTCTTGAGAAAATATGTCCTTTCTTGAAACTAATCAGAGTTGTTTGCTATTGCATTTTGCCATGCAGGGATGGGATTTTTTTCAGGATTGCATTATGGGAGAAAAGGTTAAATCTTCCTACTCTGCAACTGTATGTGGAGGTAGCTTTAAAAATCCTGATGTTCCTTAAAGTGCTGTGTTTAAAGTAATGTGTAGTTATGTTTTTATTTTAAAGACTTGTACAACTATTCGTGCCCATAGGGAGACTTAAAAGCTTTCTTTATTCAAAACTACACAGCAGATACCACAGCACATTTATTTATTCATGTACTTATATTATTAAGGACTTCTACCACCCACTTTTGACATTTCAAGGACTGTGCTACTGTTTCCTTTCAATAAGGGAGCACTGGAGGCTTATAGTTATCTTTGCAATACTGTTGTGATTATCAATGTACGAGCAGTGTAACGCGAGAGAATTTATCTCTGTAAACGGACTCCTTTTGCAACTGGTCTCCAAAGGGAGCAGCTGCCCCCCCCCCCCAAGAAGTTTATTCAATCAATTTACAGCCCTCCACATTCAAAATGCAAATGAATTACTTCAGAAAGAGTTCCAGAACACTGGTTCCAGATTCCATCCCTGCAGGTAAATCGCTCATTCAAGAAAAAATTCAGAGTCACTGACAGCTATCTCTTTTTTTCTTTTTCAAAATAAACAAGACTGCCTAATATCCTGACACCATTATTGCACTTAGGTCCTGCTCTTTTTTAGAAAGTTCAAAGGAGCTTATATTGGCCTCTCTGCGATCTTCCATCTGCATGCTAGTAAGAACCACAATATGCCTAATTTAATTCAACGTTCTTCACAGATGCTCCATCAGTTCTGTTGCTGCTAAATCTACAACTTCAATAGTTCTCAATAACCAGAGACAGTGAGAGTCCAAGAGCGAGTACACATCTGTACGTCACCATTTATTACTCTCCATAGGGATTCAGAGAATGGTGAGAGGGACTATATAGGGCCACCAGTGAACAGGAAGCTCTATAGAGCAATAAAAGGAAAAACTATGCATTCCTGTCTTTAAGAAACATATCAGGATTGTAGATATAATAGAACAGAAGACAGGATTAATTGCAAGCATTTATTTTCCTTTAGAAACAGAGAGGTCATGTTTATACCCAAGGCAGTATAAATGGAGTTCTCCTTTGAGTCAGCATGGTTAAAACAGTTTTCCTTTGCTCATCCAGACTGAAGATCTCAGAATACAATGACATACAGTATTATTGTTAGATTTATATCCTGCATTTCCTTCAGGAGCTCAAGGCAGTATACATCCTGCCTTCACCCTCCTCCATTTTTTCCCAGCAACAATAACCTTGTGATCTAGGTTGGGCTGAGAAACAGTGACTGGCCCAAAAGTTAACAAGTGAGCTTCCAAAGCTGAGGGTGGACTTGAACCTGGGCCTCCCTGATTCTAGACCAGTGTTTCTCAACCTTGGCAACTTGAAGACATGTGGACTTCAAGTCCCAGAATTCCCCAGACAGTGTTCCCCAGACAGCACTGGGAGTTGAAGTCCACACGTCTCAAGTTGCCAAAGTTGAGAAACACTGGTCTAGACCAACAGCTTACCCACCACCTCATTCTGGCTCTCTGCCAGTTGGATGACTGAAGTTGAGGAAGTAATTAAGAAAACTCAGGATTACTTTCCTCTGAAGTTTGTGCTTGAAACCAAACTGCCTGGTTGATTCTTTGCAACAGTCTGAGTGACTGAGCTCAAAACTTTTGCTAAGCCAAAACATGATTTGTTTAGTTTGGACATAATAATTGCGCCACGTAAAACATAGTGACTGGTTTATTTGTATGTGTAAATTCATCTAACCAGTTAGATTATTCATTTCTAAGCATATGATTCAAAAATATTTTCCCCTGAAAATTAAACACGGACATCTAACACACTCTTAAAACAAGTAATTGAGTTCAGGTTTCCTTGATATAATATTGTTGCTTTTAAGTTTGTGAGTGAATGTAATATTTATTATATTTCAGGCAGGTCTCATGCAATGTTATTCCAGGATATAATGAAATGGCCTTAAAAATAATATAACACTTTTCTAGTTTTACATGTAGTGGCAGAAATAATTGAATTTTGAATTAAAAAAATTAGAAGCAGATTTAAAACATATTCTTCTGGAAAAATATTCTTATGAAATTTAAAAGAAAGTAAAAGTGTAAAACAAGTCCATGTGCATTTAGACAACAGAATCAGTTGACTTGGAAACCAAATGAGTTAACAGCATTCAAATGGATAATGAAACAAAGATAAGTAAAATACAAAATAAGTTCATAGAATTACCACTAGAGTACATCCAATAGAATAGATATAATTTAACCAGATAAAGTCACCTTTGGGTCAAGTTTGGCTCCTTGTAACTTCATGGACATGTCCTTGTACCTTTCTCAGCAACATATAGCTGTGATTAGGCAATGTTTCAGGATTTTCCAAAATTTCCTGTCTAGTCTACTATTCCAGAATTCCTTTTTATTTATTATTTATTTATATTTATTGAGAATTTTACATACAGTAAAAAATCTAAAGAAAGAGATAGGAAAAAAAAAAAGGAAAAAAAGGAAGAAACAGGTGCCAGAAAAGAAAAAAAGGGAAGAAACTAAAGTTATGAAATATAATTACTACTGACCTTTTCTTCAACAGATAATTACAATCTTATAATCCTCCCTTCCTCTTAAATGTACAAATCCTTTCAACCCCTCACTTAGTCCATATCTTTTCAATCCTCAAACCATAAATCATCGTATCATTTTTTTCTTCTTTCAGCAAACAGTTCATATAAGGTTTTCAGTCTTTCAGAAAAGCTTTTGTTGTTTTTTCTCTGACCAAACAGGTCAGTTTTGCCATCTCAGAGAGTTCTGATGTTTTCACAATCCATTCCTCCA